TTCCTGCCGCTCTCTTGTGTAAAGGACAACTCCCTCTCCTCGCCTGCCAGCCTGTTCTTCCCAAAAGCCCATATCCCTCGGTTGGAGCGCACCAGCCACGTGGACCATCTCACCAGGTCTCTGTGATGCCAGTCAGGTCCTAGCCCCCTACCTGCAGACAGACTTCTGACGACTTCTGTTCGCTCCCCATGCTGCATGCATTAGTGGTGGAGCATTTCAGAGAGGTTGGTTATCTTTACAGCTGATGGGACAAGATACCATCCTCTCAGCTTTTCCCACAAGACAGATGGGTGATTTTGTTGTTTAAAGAACAGTTTCCTCCACCTCTCCTTGTATACACGTATGTAAAGGCTTGTTACAGTAAATTAGAAAAAGTATATTTAAGTCTTTCATTTGTGGAAGATGATCACCAACATTAATGACAGAGGAAGTGTCAGGAGTATAATTTAAAAGGATTGCCTTGTGAGGTTGAGTCAGGCCCATTATCTTTTGTCTTTGAACTTATTAATGCTGTTGCTGGGTTTTGTGTTTTCTTTTGTGCCAAGGGCTCCCATGGCTGAACGTATCTCCACTAGGGAACGACCTGCTGCAATTTTTTCCTACTTGCTAATAGCAACTTGAAAATAAAAAGTCACTGGACTTTAAAGAGCAGGTCATAACTCAAGATTTTTTTTTATGACAAACACTAACACTTTCGTATTTGATTTTCTTCTGCTCTAGCACAGAAGTAGAACCTTCTAAAAGAGATTGCCTCCGTCAGCTCAAGGACAAGCAAAGCTATGTGGCTTGGGGATTTATCTGGGATGGGAGGGTCTCAGGATCAAACCCATGCTTCAAAGTGAGCATGGCTAGAACCCCTGTGTCCCAGTCCATGAACTGATCTGGGCGAAGTGGAGAGACAGTCCTCTTCCTATTTGTTTTGATTAATTTTTTTTTCCTAGCCTGTAGATCATGCTGTTCCCTAAGTAATCATTTAGCCTTGGAGCGCAAGAATCACAGAGCAAGAAAAACAGGAGCAGGAGAATCCGTTTCGGTTCCTGTAAGCAGGAGATCAGAAGTCTGTTCAAAATTTTTCTTGTAAGCAAGAAGATTGTGCGCTCTGTCCCTTACCAGAGTGCTCGCCGAGCACTGGAATAACAGATGCTGGCAAAGCCATGGCAGCGCGCTTGCGCAGCCACGCCAGTCACGCTGTCCGGAGCAGCCTGCGGGGGTGGAGCCCTGGTTTTCACAGTCGGGAGGGAAGGTGAAAGAAAGCAGCTGACCTAGTGGCTGCCTGCTCAGCAGCCCAGAGAGGAGGACTGTAAATAACCATGTGGTGCAGAAAGATTAATTAAGTGTTGAATGTTACCTGTGTTATTTCCCCCTTGTCCTTTGCTTGCCTCTCTTCGACAGCATACTGCTTGTGAGGCCAATTAATTGATGTTTGCAAATGGGAGTTCAGCTCATCGAGCACCACGAAGTTTAATTTTTTCTGAGGGCTCAAGACAGCATTGGTGACACTACAGTATGAACATTTGTTGTCGCCAGTCGGCTCCTGGCAGAAGGACTATGTGGGATAAAAATTCAAGGAAGCGTAACCATATCTTCAACTCTACCTGAGGCTGCCAGCTGTGCTTTTTGGAGAGGTCTGGTCCTGTGCTTCTCTGGGGTCTGGTGAACTAAAATACTTGGCAAGGCCAGCACTGCCAGCCTCCCGCGGAATGGCTGGATACTACAGAAGGTCTCAGGGTGACCCAGCTGTCTCCTGAATTTTTCCTCACCTGGTTTCTCCAGTACCTGGTTACCATCTCTTGCCCTCATCCCAGTTTATGTACTCAGGAACATCACTTGCTTTGATCCTCAGACCTGAACCATCGGTATTGCACTTCATAGTGCTATGCAGTGCACTATATGGCACTTAGTCATCGTTACACTTTATAACTGAAAATTAAGAAATTAATACTGATGTACTTTTATAGCTGTATAAGGAAAAATATACACAAACTCATACAAGGAAAATAAAGCAAAATTCTTGATGCATCCAGGTGGGCCACTCGTGACAGACTGCCCTTTTGCAAGGAACTTGGCAACAGGAATTGCATCTTTTAGAAACTTGTTTATAATTGCACCTTTAGATACCACTTTACAACTAGAGTAGCAGTTTTAGAGTGAATTCAATTACCTGATGCTCAGTTAATCTTTGAACCGGAGCGTTAAGCCACTGACACCCAGTTCATGCAGCTGCACAAAAAGCTGTGCCTCTCAACACGAGAACGTGCAACAGGCTGCATGTGAAACTGGTGAACACACCAACAGAAAGCAGATCACGATTCTCTGTAAATTATGAATGGGGTGGTGCTTATGTTCTTGCTAAAGAGGCAAAAGCCTTTTGTATGGAGATTGAGAGCCCGCTAGTAACTTTTTATTTGAGAAGTGCGGCTGGGGAGGCTGCCTTGCTTTCGCGGGTTTGTGTGGGTGTTTGCCTTGAGGAATTGTGAGCTGCACTGCTTTTTTGACAAAAAAGAAGCCATCACTTTTAAATATTTTTCTCTATGTTGCTCTGTGCATGAAAGTACCGCTACAGTATGGAAAACAGAAAGTAATTATCTTTGAATCACAGGCGAATACATGGCATCAGGTTCTTTTCATCAGACAACATGAAAGTGTCAGCAGCAGCCTTGTGTCAACAGAGGCACTTGTGATAACTGGTACCTTTTAAACATGGGAGTCCATTTTAAAGTGATTATTTTTTTCCCCCTGAGTGTGAAGAACGATCAGGGCAGTGAGCCAAGGAATTTCTGTATTTCCCCAGAGCCCCAGAAGGTGGGATGCTACTCTCCTGGAGCACCAAGTCATCCTGCAGCTCCGCTGGCCAGCCCATTATTACCTTAACTGCGCTCTAATCCCGCAAGTGGGAAGGAACCAGGAGGTAATAAGCAAAGCTAATGATTTCAGCCCAACCCAATACCTTAAATTTTTTTGTGGTTTCAGCAATTAGGTCAGGCTCATTAGTAATCATTGGTCTAAATAGTGGCTGAAAGGAAAGAACTGGGGTTATCCACGAGGATGTTAGCATGGCATTTTGTATGCCATTTATTAGTCAATGAGATTTTTTCAGTGCTGCCCATTTCATTTGCCTCTATGGCTCAACAGCACAATCAGAAATCCACAGCTGTTTGGCCAAAATTGATTTAGACCTGTTTGACACTGAGCCTCTTTAATCAGAATGCTAAAGGAACTGCTGAGAGGACCAACATGCTTAGCGATGGATCTCGAGACAGGTCCACTCAGAGATTGCTCTGTCATTATTTCAGCAGGTGGTATTTTCTGTTTTGGTATTTCTTTCCTGGGAACTCTCACCAGGGAAAGATCTATAGCTTTTTAAAGGGTTTGTTTCATATTTTTGGGTGGCATCTAAATACTTGAATCTTGCAGAGAAGTCCACTGGAGCAAGTTAAGCACCCTTGCAGAGGCCGAGCAAGATATTAACTGGAAAAATACCTTCAGTCACCCTACCTTCTCTCTCAAGGATGCCTAAAAAGGACCTCCTTTTCAGATGCAAGTGGCTTGTGGAATACAATAGTGCTTATCTTTTCATTGTACTGGATTTATTTAACATGCTATGTACAGCTTTATCAATTTCAAAAAGTGGGGAGAAAAGAAAGCTTTGCCTTTCTAGTGAGAATAAGTTGTTCAGCACATTTGAATAAAACCCATTTGATTTTTTTCTTAAAAAAAAAAGAAAAAGAAAATCCCTGAAATTCTGGATTATTTTGAAACAGTGCTTGTTGTTCAAGGAATGCAGCACAAGAACTTGATCAAAACTTCCCACGGTGGTTTGTTTCCATAGCAGCCTGTCAAATCTCGGTGGCACAGCAGTCAGTCACTTCGGGCTGAAAGGATCAAAAGCTGTTGGCAACTAGGGAACACTGTTTTCACCTGCATTCAGCTAGACCTGCTGGAAGCTCTTTTAGTAAAATGTTACTCCTAAATGGAAAAGATCCCCGAAGTCTACGAGACTCGGTGTGTTTGAACTGATGTGATTGCGGTGGAGTGCTAGAGAATGAAGCACAGCGAAAACAACGGCTCTGATGGAATAAGACCTCCGTGAGTACTGTCTGTTGTGTTTGTCTTTACAGTCCTGTTGATCAGTATCGGGGCTGTCTGACTGCCAGAAGTTTATTTTTTTCCATTTCCTATCTGCATCCTGGCCAAATTCAGTCCACAGAAAATTTTCCCATCCTTTCTGCTTTGCTTCATTTATCGTCATTCTCAAACTTGAGAGCCACATGTTAAACAGCTGAGGAAGGCCGTGTCGTCTAGAGTTCAGGCAAGAAATATTAAAAGCAACTATTGCTGCCTGCTCAGTTTCTGGGGCAACAAAGAACATTTCCATCTCTCTTCAGTTTTGAGCTGATATTCTTAGGTTTGCCTACCCATTTATGGAAACTGTAGAGCCTGGCGAAGAGCCCTCCTGTGGCATCCAGTGGGGGTAGCTGGTGGCTGTTCTGCAGGCTTTAGGCAGGCAGGACTGGCCTGATGTCTCAGTACAGGTAGGGCAGACCACTGGGAAGGAAAAACACAGCAGGCATTGGTTCAGCCGGGCTCTTCTGTAGAAAATTTAACATGGCAGGGCAGTTCTTTGCTTCATGAAGGGGTGGGCAAGTGGACGAAAAAGAGGACATGAAGCCACATGGAAATAGATGGTGAGTGATGGAGCCATTCCATTCCCTCGTCCTGTGCTTGCTCTTAACTACACCTGGTTTCATTTTGGCCTCTTTTGACTACACATGCTAGGAAAAGCTGGGGTCTAGGTGAGAACAGTGGGAAAGGCATGTTTAGTCCCTGTCTCCATTTCTCTCTGCTCCAGACCCGACCCAGCTGCCTTCAGCAGGCCTTCTGCAGCTCTCTCCAGGACAGGTTTTGCTCCAGCAGTCAGTGTTTTGGCCAGGGCTTTGGTGGTGCCTCCTGAGCCCAGCCAGCAGCACAGAGGAGCCTGTCAGTACCGCTGGCAGAGCCCTTAGTTGACCTTTGGAAACTGAATGTGGCCCACAGCCAGGCTGCAGGCATTCTTCTATGTAAACAAAACTCAGAAAGACAGTTCTTGCAGTTACACAAACTAAGGGACCACAGCGAAGGGGCACGTAGTTACTAAGCAGAACGGGTTCCCCCAGCATACTGCGTGGTCTCAGGGACAGCCGCTTCTGCACAGCGAGATCCACAAACCTGAGGCACTTTTCTGTGTCTACACTGAAATGGAAAAACCCGCTGCTAATGAGCCTCAGGGTCTCCAGGAACTGATGCAGCTCTGCACCGAAGGCACAGCTTTGGCACACCTGGGGCTATTAGCAGCAGGCATTAGTGTTTCCTAATGAAATTCGTTTGTGGTTACAAAATAGGCTTTGTACATCTGGAAGAAAAAAACCTTTGCATCGATTAATCGGATTAATGTTTTGGTTTAGTCAGAACACGGTATGTGCTGACACGCTCTGGTCTCAGTACAGCCATTTCCGTAGCCAAGTTTCAGCTCTTAATCTGGTGTTGTTTGTTTATGAACATAGAATCCTGGCCCTGCCCATTTGCTTTCCATGGAAGCAAATTTACTATCACATCACCTACACTTGATATTAACTACTGTAAGGCAGCTCATTTAGTACTCGTTTGCTCGTGAAGCTGCCAGAAAATGTTCCTCTCATCTAAAACAAGCCTGAGGGCTTTTTAAGAGTTCAGTACCTCAAAACAGGTCTTTTCAGCTTAACCTGAAGCAAGTCAATAACTATTTCATTTTGCAGAAGGCTCTGATCCTGGCTGGCAGGTGAAGAAAGCAGGACGCTAGAATCCTCAGCAATCCTAGCATAGCTGTAATCTGTAAAAACAGGGAGGTTGCTGAACAGCTGGAGGTGAGAGGGGAACTCAAATGCTGAATAATAATGACTGTATGGTAATACACACGATTAAAGCGTAATTCTGAGAAAGAGATAAACAAAAGGCAGAAGGGATTCTAAGCTATACCTGCTGAAGTGGTGGAAATAACCATAATTAAAGTGTAAATCATAATATATAAACCAACACTATATGATTTTGTGGCCAAGAATAAATACAAGTGAAGCTATGCAGTGATGCTTTTCCTGTTCTGCTGTGAGGGCTGCTGTTAATATGGACATTTTCAAGGCTGGAAGTCTGACTGGAGATGGACAGGTGGTTATGTCATATAGGTCATGATTTTCAAGCGTGTTTTTGTCTATCAAATTACTATCAGTTTGCAAGATGTCTGTCCCCATACAACAACCTTGATGCTCTGGACTACAGAGCATCAAGGAAATGCAGGCTGAAAATTGGCAAAACATTGTGTAATATTGATGGGGTCAAGCAAACAGTAGTATCCAATGCCTTACCAGAAGGCGAAATTTCAGCTGTTCCTGGCAAAAACAAATCACATAATGTCTTGCACATTAAGATGCAAAAAGCAGCTGTCATGCGAACATACATCTGTTTTTTTCTATAAAGCAATGCAATTTGATAACAGGGAACCCATTTCCCACACTGCACAGATCACCCTCACCCTGACCAGACTGGCATTACTGGAATAACGTGACTAGGAGAACTCCAGCTTACTCCTTCAGGAGGACACAGACAGTCTTGTTTAGTTGTTATTCCTACCTTGTAGCATTCAACACTTGTTTTGAATGCTTTTACTGTATAGGAGTTACCAAATTTCTCTCTTCATATCTTCAATATGAAATACATGTAGGAACTTTTGAAAGAGAACTCCCATCTTCTCAAACTGAAATTCAAACCAACCACCTCTGAGGTAAGTTCCCAGGACCAGCCTAGTGCATACTCTGTCATGCCGTGCTGCCCACTTCACTGCAGGTGTGACAGCATCTGGCACTCTGTAAATCCCTAGTGCTGAGATGGGATGATGGAAGACTACCAGGGTTTTTTTGAAGCAAAATTGCAAAAACTTCTTTTGAATTATATTATGGGGAGAAAAAAAAAAAATCCCCGTTGCACTGTACCAAATAATCTCGATTTCATTTTCTGGCACTGCCGCAGTGCCTGCGGCCGGCTGTAGCTTTGGCCACCAGATGGCTTTCCTGACGTCTGCTGACAGCTACTGACACATCCACAAGCAAAGTAAACTTCTGCGAGTTTGCATGTACCAGCCCAAATCCTACTTGGATAGCTGTACCGTGACCCTGGAGAAAGCAGATGCATAACGGACAGCCTGACAAGCCTAACCCTAGTTGCGGTTAACCCTAAATCTAGTTCCAATCAGGGTCGGGTGTGCCTCTACCCAGATAGCCACCTTCAGTTCTGCCCATTTTTATTGTGGGTTCAGCCATTTGAATATTGTTGCTAAGCATGGAGCGTGTTTGCACGAGGAAAATTAGGCGGTAAAGGTGTTTCGCCCGTGCCAGGTGCTTCAGTACAAAAGAACATGTTCTAAGAGAACTTTTACTTTGACCTGTGTGTACACGTACCAGTCTCATTGTGCAAGACCTGGCTAACTGGCCAGATCATAAATCTAATGGAAGAGCACTTGCAGAGCCTTCGCACGCCAGCAGGCACAGTGGCCATTTTAACAGGATAAAATTTTAAGGCAGATTTTGTCCAGAGAAAGGAACATCTCAAAAGCTGAAGTGCTCCAGAATGCGAGTTATCTTCTCTGCGAACACAGCTGATTTTACAGTAGAAAATTACAAAGAAAAACTAAGAATTCAAGCACAGCACTGGCCAATCTGTTTTGAATTTTTTTTTTTTTAATTTTGATGAAAATGCAAGAAGACAAAAGTAATTGTTATTAGCTCTCACGAGTCCTTGAGATGTGCTGCACCGAACGAGGAGGAAAGCTGCATGCAAAACTGGTTTTCTGCTGAGACAAATCAGTTAAAAGTCTTTTAAAGAAAATAATAAAAAGTTTTTTTTAAATCTTTGCCATCCAGGGAAATTTAACTTTAAAGGAAAAACACCGAGTGATTTTTGTCTAAACATATTCCCTCTCGAGAAGCTTGGAGAGGAGGAAATTGCAGCTGAAGGAGAGAGATTCCTTTAAACAAATACTGGGGTTTTATCAGGTGTTCCTTCAGGAAATTAGTGCTTTAAAGGTCTTACGCCTTCAGTAATTAAAATCTCTCAGCTAACGATGTTCTTGACAATGTTTGCTATGACAAATAACCCACTCCGCTTTTCCTTGCTTCAGCCATGTTACAGAATCATAAAGTCCCCACACCTGTTGTGGAAACATCGAGGAAATGCTCAGGTGAAGCCCTGGCTCCACTGAAACAAACGCCCGTTGCTCTCTGCAGTGTAAGACAGACAGGTTTCATGTTTTAAACCTTCCCATGCCACAGCGCAGACCTTTAAGCTTCCATCTGTGGTCCTGCACAGAGCTGCAAAGGCTCAGGCAGACACAATGCCAGGTAGACACCCTTCGGCTCTTTTTTTCTTTTAGGAGGTTCAAGTACAGAAATAGATACAGGACAGTTTTACTTACTTTCAGACGTCTGACTAACTGCGACTGCTAGAATAGCCAAGACCGTGACCAAGTTCACATCCATTCCCCGAGGCGTGGCGGGAGC